AATATTATTAAGAATTATTTACGTTAAACAATTATATATTATTCTATTTTTCTATAAATTCTTTATTTTTTTATTTTTATTTTTTTGTAAGTTTGTTATATATATTATTTATGTCTTTTTATTTTAAAAAATATATATATATATTTTTAATTTTCTTTAATTAAATTAGTAAATTATTTTAATTGTTTCCTTTTTTCGTTTTATATTAATTTATTATATAAATAATATTTATTTATTTTTTTCTTCTTCGTAAAAAATATCATTGCTAGTTTAAATCCGTGCAATCAATATCCCACATTTTTACGTCCATAAAGAATCGTAATCGTAATCTAAGCAAAATAATTTTGATTTTCCAGATTTTAGCTTTATTTCTTTTTAATCCAATAATTCCGGTCCCAAATCCGGAGCATATAAATCCAGAGGCAAAACCGTTCTTACCTACCACTTTCATGTCCGGCATGAGGATTGTCACACGTACCTTGTCCGGTGATCAGAGTGCCAAAGCCATTTCCACGACTTCCATTCAGAATGAAACAGATGATCATGGTTGACCTGCGCCACCTACCTGACCAACGTTCCAAGCAGCAGCCTGTGCACTCATCACCCTCTGCGGCTATCCGTGTACTCTGCTGGAATGCATCCCAAGGATTGCAATTGGATGAATGGGTAACTTGGTGCTCTTCCCAACCGTTTGAGTTAATTCTGGTACAAGAGACCGGATGGGCTCTCAACAGTCGCTGGACCTGGCTGCTACATGATACACAGCTATGCTTCTAGGGCTTCGACCCTTTGCGTGGTTAGAAGTTCTCTTCTACAACCGGATCAACTGACTGTGGTTGACCTTATACCAGGCCGCCTCCAGCACATTAGATTGCACTTGACCCGGATTCATGATGTGTTTATATAACTTGTACCAATTTGCTTGGAACACCACTAAACCCAGAGCAACCTTGATTCAGGACAGGGCCAAAGTTTGGAAGACTCTTAGAGATGCCATCCAACAAGTACCACCGAGCCACATGGTACTGCTTGCAGGTGATTGCAACACACCTGTGACTGTAGAACCACCAGCCATTGGATCACATAATGCCAGACAGATAGACATGAGTTTCAAGCCCTGATTCAGGAGCTTAACCTCTGTACGCCCCATTGCCGGGGCAAATGGATTTCCACTTTTGCACACGGAACGTACTCGACACGTATCGATTTCATATTTCTTCGATCCCATCAAACGCAATGGAACAAACATCAAGCCAAGGTCCTCACCAGTTTCGAACGCAATTTTGGGAATGATGGTCCACATCATCACCCGCTTGTCCTTTCCTTACCTAGACGGTTTGCTCCACCACGCAGCCTTCCACCAAAGGTACTCATTGACCGCCACCGCTTGAGGCAAGACTTTCAGCGCCAGAATGAGAACTGGCAACTCTTCGAAAGACGGATGCACACAATTTTGATCGGGTGACCACATACCCCGCATCCTCAGCACTTGAGATTTGTATGCACGTTGAACAGGAGGTTCGAGACCTCTGCATATCCCACTTCTCGAAATATTCCGTTGCTCGTTCACTCTGCCCTCAGGTACGATCCACGAGTGCACAATTGCAGTTTGCTCGTCGCCAACTGATGAGGCCTCAGCAGTGCATACTTCGAGCAATGTTCGTCAGCTGGAAACATGTGGTAACATTTGATAAGTTGTATAAATTCATTCGTAAACAGAGCCACCTCAATCGTAAAAGCCGACTAGAGACCTTTCTCCAGGAGAGTGCGCCGCTTGTCCTCAGCAATCGAGTGCATGAATGGTACAAAAGAGTTCGTACCTTATGCCCCAAACAACATTTCCGCTGCATTCAGATGTTCGATGCCCATGAAGCCCCAATGTCACAGGAACAAGAACTTGATAGACTGATCAATTACTTCCAGACCTTGTTCACTGATGTTCATGACCCATTGCCTCATCCACCAGCCATTCAAGACCTGCCATTCACTGAGGCTGACGTGCTTCAAGAACTTGAACAGCTCCCTGCCACCAAGGCATTGGCTCCAGACGGATTCCCAGCATTGGTTTGGCGGCATTTCGCATCTCAACTGTCTCCAATTGTGTACGAGTGCATTCGCCAAGCATGGAGTGCCCCTCAATGCATTCCCCCCACACACTGGTCGACTGGATGGTTACACCTTTTTCCCAAACCGAATAAGATCCCAAACAAGCCTGAAGCCCTGCGACCAATATGCTTGCAACACCCTGTGAACAAAGCCATGTCCGGAATTCATTGCCGCTTGCTTCAAAAGCACACATTCCCCTCTCTTCGGAGATTACCATTGTTTGCCTACATGGCCCACCGGGGAACTAAGGACTACCTGTTGATCATCTCTCACCACTCCCGTACACTGTGCAAGGATCACAGCAAAGATCCATCGAGGCAGGGATTGTGGGGGGGCATCCAGTCTCACTAGACATGGAGAAAATTTTCGACACTATCAGTAGGTCCATGGTCTCTCGTGCACTCCATGCGTTTGACATCTCACAGGACCTTCAAAATCTTGTACATTCGTGGCTGGCCCCTCACCAGTATTGCATTCCGCATAAGGAGTTGATTGGCAGATTCCAAGCCACTGGAGGAATCAAGCAGGGCTCCAAAGACGCCCCTATGTTTTGGACGCTTCGTATGTACTTATTCTCCAAGATCTCTTGACCCAATACGATCATGCCTGGATTGTCAATCACATAACAATATACGCCGATGATATCCACCTCAGATGGATCATCCAATCACCGAGTGGTGGCCTTGCTGCAATGCATGACATGTCCTTCTTGCTCAGAGTGTTCAGTGCTTATATGGTCTCCGCATCAACCAACAGAAGAGCGTGGCTCTCACTCGCATGGTTGGCAAGTCGTTGAATCAGTTTCTTCGACGATGGACTAGTCGGCCTAAAACAGGCCCTGTGCTGCATTTGCCAGACACACACCTGACAGTGCCACTGGGGAACAAAACCTCGTACTTAGGAACAATCATCAGCTATAGGGCCTGGGAAGCGGACACAACCAAGCGCAGAATTGTGGCTGCTCAGACTTGCTTTCAAATACTTCGCAGGTGGCTCTTAGATAGGCATCATGATCTCAAAATTCGTCTCTGGCTTTATCGACAGTGTGTTCTGCCGACTGTCCTTTATGGAGTGTGTGAAATGGGGTTGAACTCACAAGGCAGCCAAGCCATCATTGGTATAATAAACTCTCACCACAGGTCGGTGCCCATGCCCCAGTTCACCTCACTCGAGTTCCCACACAGGAGTTCTTCACTTCCATAGGACTTGAACCACCGTGGATCACACTTCAACGACATTATCACCGATTGACTGAAGCCTTGAGCCACCGACGGGAAGTTCTCCGGAGTTCCGCCATGTCTGACCAGCATACCCTGATGCACTCATACTCCCACAGAACATACCCTCGATCCAGTCAGCTCAGGTACCAGCTCTCAAATGCCCTGAATGCTCCCGAGTGTTCACACACACTGGCTCGTACAAACGACATCTACGGGAATACCACCAAATTCCTTGCCTCCAGGAAGACCTTTACCACCCTCTTCGAGATAACCTAGAAGGTCATCCCACATGTAGACACTGCCTGAAAGCATTCACTAATTTCTATCGATTGCGTGATCACATCAACAAACGTGTCTGTTTACTTTTGACCAGACTCAGGATGCCATCGTGCCCATTTGCGATCGACCAGACCTTCGTATGCACCTCAGGTACAAGAGCATTCCTGGCCTACTATTGAACCAGGCCTTGATGTCTGCATTTGCACATCATTGTGCATTTTGTCACAGAGCCATAGCAGCTCGTTCCATTCGAAGACATTACAAAGATGCCCATCCGCAGCTGCTCGTTTTCGAACCTCTTCACAGGGAACAGGTCTACGGAGTAGCCAACCTCGGCTCGGGCAAAGGCCACTGGATTCTATGTGAACAGTCATGCACTAACGCGCAACACCACCAATGTGGGGTCCTGTTCCAGATCAGTGTACTGTTGGGTCAGACTTATGATGTCTCTCACTTCCCAGTGTGATGCCAACCATGATTCGCACCAGGACTGACAATCCAGACAACGCCGACCGATCAGAACACCAGCAAGAACCGACGACTTTGCAACCTGCTAGACCGACCCAGATTGTTCCAGATGATGAAGCACAAGCGAGGGCCCAGCAGATCGTTGACCGGCCCTCTGGTTCTTCGGTTTTGCACAAGTGCACACAATCTCACATGGCATTCCTCACGGCCACTGGCTTTCAACAACATGTACATGAATATCACGATCATGCCTCATCCGTGGTATGCCAAGCCTCGTCGACTCAGGTGCACAAGAAACTCAAGACCTCCGCTCGCACCGTCCAGCAGATGCTTAATCCCGAGTACCTATTAATAAACACTCCCCAATTAAAAAAACACCACGTCCGAACCCCTAAATTTGGTTTATTTTTGGTTTTAAATTGCCGCCCTTTCAAACCGCTACTAAACTACCAACATGGTCGATTTTGGGGGTAGTTTTTTTTATCTGCCCACCTCTGTCCGCCCTGTCTATCCACCATGACACGCCGCGCTTACACCAGCAGGCTTTCCTTCCCCCAATGGCACGGACTCACGCAAACGCACTTGCCACCGAGGTCATGCAACACCGCATGGCACAGCGACATCACCTTTCGAAAGCTTTAGCTGTTAGTCTACTGAAGAACCACTATTCTAATGAAGGTTTTTGTAGGGAAAAGGAAAGACCCTTCGATCTGGAGCTTTTTTGCATTTTTGATACGAGTTTAATAAAGGATTTTATATAAAAGTTTACTGATTTACTTTTTGGTTTTGAAGCTCTTCCCAGGTGACCTATTTTGGACACCCCGATTTCAGAGACCCCCTATTAGAAAAAATGCGACCGAGGTTTTTTTAATAGGGGGGGGGGCGTGTTTATTATTAGGAGGACGGGATTAGCCTTCCTGCCTCAGGGCCTGTGCCGGAGGCGCCCAAGCAGTGCCCCATTTATCTAGACACGGTAGGCCGGAAAGCCTTGATCCTTCGCCGTGAACATCAGGCCACTCATGTTGGAGCCTTTGCATTCGTACCGGATCAGGACATGCTTCCTGGTAGCCTGACATGTCGTCACCTTCACTATGGAACAAGCATTGATCACCCACTTCAAACGTGGATCCTGTCCGGTCCTTGTACGCCAATGGGCTCGATCCCAAAGCCTTGGAGCCCCAGAAGCTGCTGTCAATGTCAATTCCACACCTCCTGTTGACAACTCCCTGCCTGCTTTGCTGCGCAGGCACTTCGAACTCAGCCAGGCCGGACTGGAGTATGACCGATGGCACAATCTCACCACAGATTTTGTCAGCCTTTGGTTTCCACTGCTGTACACCCCAACGTGGACGCCCTTGCATTGTGTGAACTGGTTCCGGTACACGACCGACTGGGTTTCTCATTTTCCTGAACTGCCGCACACATGTCTTCTGACAGATCAGGTATTCGAAATCATCCATGCACTTGGAGATCATCCCCCATTGGCCTGGGCCTGGAACTTGGATGAGGAGCAGTCGCCACAACAGGCATGGCATTTGTACCCCGTCCACGAACAGCTTCCTGATCAGATTGTTACGATCAAGCGTATCCTTCACGCACTCGCCCTGATCCTGGCCCAAGACGATTCCTGTTGTCTTGACCGGACATCAGAACATGGAACCTTAGCAGGCAGAGGCGATCAGTCATTCCAAGACCAAACGGCCACGCCACGAGACATCATCCACTGGTCCTGGCAGGACTGGCCGGGAACAACTCGACCTCATCGGTGAGTACATCAGACAGCAGAGATGGGGATCTGGTCCTGATGCTTGGACGCTTGGTACTACGACAGGAAGATACTCTAGACGCCTCCACTTCACCACCCATGGAGGTACCAGGTGAAATTGTGAGACATACCCCGGGAGGCATTCGAGTACCACCTGGTTTGAGTCTGGCCTCACGGTGTGGAAAGAATACGACAGGAGCCGACCATACCAAGGTGAGCCTATGGGAGGTGGCGTGAGCAATGTCGCTGTTCGACAACACCATCTACATGGACAGGCGGGGCTGGTCCCCGACATGAACTACCACACCAACAAGGCGGTGAAGTGCTTGGGAAAAAGGAGAACCGAGGTGGTTCAGAAACCCGTGAAAGTGGAGCCGCAAGTTGGGATATGGTGGATGACCAATTTGACAAATCGTAGCGGCAAATTACCAGGCAGTGAGAATGCAATGGTTGACGGTATTTACACGGACTCGTGCGGCTTCCTGGCATCTTCCGACCGAGGTGCTCTGAGGATGTGAGTTGCACCAGAATCCAGCAGGACTCCCTGTGCTTCATGGTTAGCTTTCGCGCTCGAATTGCAGGTTGAGGGGCACAAAGTGATCGCAACAATGATGTGATCTCCCCCAAGAGTTGGTTTTCTGACCCGCCCGCTCCACCGTTCGCAGCCTCTGTCGTGCTCATCGAACTTGCCATAGAGCTCCTCAGGGTTGAAGTTCCACCTCCAGTGCCAGCTTTTTCAGTTGATGCTTCCGCTGCACCATCACCCCCCCCCACCTTGCACAGCAGGTGTCTCTGGTGACTTGGGCCCCGCAGCACCATCAGCCTTGTTGACCTGCGGTTTAGCTTTGCCACCATTGCCCTTGGACTTGCCTTTGGGGCCGTCCTTCTTGGCTTCACCACTTCCCTTGTCACTCTTGTCCATCAAGGTTGGACAAGCACTTTTCTATGCGCCAGACTTGAGCATTCCCAACACCTCGATGGCTTGTCCTCCACTCCATCCCAGGAGTGTGCA